ATGAATCTATGTTTATCAACAAAATAAATTGCCAACGTTTTATTACAGACAGGTAAACTTAGATTAGCATTCGTAAACTATAGTTAACAACCGTTAAATAAAAATTTATGTTTCATAAAATGTTTTATATGCAATCTTTTTTACATTGTTTTTGACAAATCTAAATTAAAATTGCAGTTGCTATTGATTTTCATGTATTAAGAACGGGCTCGACTGGATCGGGATCGAATTAATGTTTGGATCGGGTTCGGCATGATCGGGATCGAGTGCTCAATTAATTTAATTTTGCAGAAAAACGAGGTGAAGTCAACTCCCATCCTCCTCCCAATTGAAATGGAAATTATTGATTGTTGAATTTTTGTTGTATAGATTTTTCCTCATTGTATAAGATCAAGCATTTAGCATGCCGTTTGGTTCACGCCACCTTCTTGTTACTTGGTAATCATTATATAACAATAGCTTGGATAAACACAAAGTCGCAATATATCACATCTAAGTTGAAACTATTCATTATTTGGCCTTATCCCAGCTATAATTTACATGATTGTATGTAATATTGTATATTTATGTGCTTTTGTTCACTTTCGTCATTTATCTGGTCAATAAATGACATTTTCACTCAACTCAAGTTCTCATGTCTTACATGTATTGTCATCGGCGACAATATGTACCTACCCTCACTGCACATATTGTCGTCCATCAGTAGATATTGTCGCCGGCGTCAATATGTATTAAAACAAACTTTTTATCCTTCATGCATAAGGGACGACAAAATAAACAGTCAATTTTGTTAAAATCATTTAAATTCTTAAAAAAAATTTCTTCTCAAAAACAGCAAAGCTATGCTTAGTCATACTCATACTTAAATGGAAGCATTTCCAGGCATTGTCATGCGATGACAATATGCGCAATGATTGTAGGTACTGATTGTCGCCTGTGATATAAACAGTACGACAAAATGTTCACCGTATATGGTGACGTCTCTTCATGAGCGTAAAACAACATTCTATCAACCAATCATCTATTAAGTTGATAATATATTCGTTTTACGTTAACAATTTTTCTATTTGTTAGCCGCCAAATATTTCGGGAAAAGTCTTCATCATTTTATTGTTGTTACAGGACAGCATACATATGATGTGCTTTTAAGTATGATTTTTACAATGTTTTAATAAACTATATATGAAAAGATGCCATTTTATTTCATATTTTATATTTTGTAATTTTGAGCAATATACATTTTATCGTGTTTTTTTTAGATGCAAATTAAATCCGTGTTCATAATCTCTTTTGGGATACTGCCCTTCGTTGCTTTACGAAATAGACGCTTTATCTTGGGAAAGATTATATAAACTTGTACTCTCTTTGATGGCTACGATATCGATTTAGAAACTACAATAAATTGTTTACTTTTATGTTTAGTAATCCACTTTTATTATATCAAATTTCAACTCATGATCGTTCGGATTGAAATAATACGCATATGTGCATACTACAAAAAACCCATAATTTATGTATGGTACCTCTGATTTCTTTACAATTTTAAAGCTTAGGATGGAAAACCTCAACCGTTCACGGTAGCTCAGTCGGTAGAGAGCTCGCTCCGTTATCGGGAGGCCGTGAGTTCGTATCTCGACGGCGACTGACCTAGTCGATGAAATGGGTAGCAACTGTTCCTTCTTCATGCGTCGGCACTTTGAAGTGAAATTAAAGTTGCCGGTGTAAAGACGAATAATGACCCCCATCGAATAATGAACGGGGGTCATTTTTCAACGACAAAAAATGACCCCCCACCCGTAGAAAAAAAAATTGTAGAAAAAGTCCCAGGGGTCATTATTTTATATATGTTAGTCCTATAAAAAATTGACCCCCATTGAAAAATGACCCCCTTTAAAGTAATACAAAATTTATAACAGGTGAAATGGAAAAATATGCTGTATATTATAATTGTTTTTGCTTCGAGTAATTCATGCATTTTATCCCCCCCCCAAAAAAAAGAACATTACATTAAATCAAAAAAAAAATAATAATAATAAATGAAAAGCAAAAATATAAATAAAACTCTATACCTTTCAATAATACTGAAAGAGGCTCTAGATAGAATATTAAAATGAAGTTAAGCCTTCACACAAGTACTATCATAACATAATTTACTTCGCCATGATTAAAGCATACTTAAAATGTTGGTGGGGGAGGGGTATACTTGAAAGTATTGTGGCAAAGTAACAGTTGAAAATTAGTAGAGTAGTAGATTATTTTCAGCTTATTTTAGTCCCTCCTTATAGAAAAATAAACGTAGGGTAGTTTTTTTTTTTTGTTGTTGTTGTTGTTGTTGCTTTTGTTGATGATCGATTTCCTCCTAAATAAGTAAGGGGTTGGGGTGGGTATAAAACCTTAAAAAAAATGCTCTGTAAAGCTATGGGCTAATTCTATTCATCCTAATCATTCTAATGCAAAAACCATACATGTAGACATAACCTGTTGATTTAGCACACAATGTTCATTACATTTCTTAATTCTTGTTTTACTCTACTCTTTTACGTAGTTCTGAGTACATTTTTAAGAGAATTTAATATGAAAATCAGAAGGAAAAAACATTTTCATTTCAGTAACGTCTTCTTTGCACTGTATCATAATACAAAAATTTAATAGAAGATCATTTCTTTTTATGTCCCCGTAATCGAAGATTTGGGGGTATATAGTTTTATCGTGTCCGATTGTATGTCTGTCTGTCTATCTGGCGGTCTGTTTATCCGCAAAAACTTTAACCTTGACCATTACTTTTCATTTATTGGAGCTATGACTTTCATATTTAATATGTGTATTCCTTGTGACAAGACCTTACTTTGGATACCACCAAATTTGACCTTTTGACCTTTACCTTGGAGTTTGTCTCATTTTACACAAAAATGCCAAATTTTTACTTTGGCCATATCTTTTAAACGGTAGATAATAGTACTCTCATACTTCACATATGTATTTTTTAGGCATGACCTTTCATTGGATACTAAAAACTTTGACCTTTTGACCTTGACCTTGGAGATTTCCGTACATGAAAAAAACTTAAACCTTGGTCATAACTTTTGAACGGTAAGGACTAGGGTTTTCATACTTCACATATGTAATCCTTGTTACATTAAACCTTTCTTAACAAGCCATCAACTTTGACCCTTTGACCTTTGAGTTTGACCTACCTTTCAAAATCCTTTCCTTAGCCATTACTTTTGAACAAGTGGTGCTATGGCTCTCCTATTTTGCAATTGTATTTCTTGTGAGAAGACCTTACTTTGGGTACTAATATATTTAAATTGTATTTAAGAAAAGATTAATCTCCCCTATGTTGCCATACAGGGGCATAGCTGTTTCACATCTTTTTATATATAAGAGGTGTTGCGGATAAGAGATGGATACCCCAAAGCGTAACAGACGGACGGACATTCCGATCACTACATACCATCCCGCTTTTCAAGCGGAGGATATAATGATATATAATACTGCTGATTTTTTCTGTCAGTACGATGATTTCCACCATCGAAAAACAATGTTTTTACCTAACCCTTTAGGCTCGATAATCTTTTACTCCTTTAGATTCTGAATCATCGCATTGACCTTAAAATATAGCTATATTGTGTAATGTAATGAGATCAACATATCATCAATTAATTTCCAATTAGCTCAGGTGAGCATTTTGGCCAATCTGCTTCATTATAATTTTTTTGCCCCCTAAAAATTTCAGCTTTAATCCACAGGGAGTCATTTTTCTACGGAGGTCTTTTTTCTTCACGTGGGTTCTGCAAATTTTTAGGGTGGTGACACTTTTTCTACGGGCAAAGGGGCCATTTTTCGACGTCGAATAATGACCGGGGGTCATTTTTCGCCGTTGAATATTGACCGGGGTCATTTTTGCTGTCGAAAAATGACCCCCGGTCCTTATTCGATGGGGGTCATTTTTCGTCTTTACACCGGTGACCTTCGGATGAGACCTTAAAAACCGATGCCTCGTGTCAGCGGCAGGCGTTGGCCCGATAAAGATTACTCACTGCTCAATGGCCCTGAGTGCCGAGTAAAGGTCAAAATTTAAAGCCCTTCATCGGCAAGTGGTGGCGTCTCCATATGAGTGAAAAATTCCCGACAGGGACGTTAAACAATATACAATCAATCAATAAAAAGCCCCAAACCCGATTATGAAAACAAAAGATGTTTTTCTGACGGATCTGACACACGTTTTTATTATGTCCTCCTCTACCATATAAACTACATTAAATATTCAAAATGAATTAGGTATGAGCATTTCAATTCGCAAAATTCTGCCTTACTTAATGTATTTTTTTCTGGATAATATTTAGCTGTGAAAATGCTAAACTTTCACTAGCTTTAGGTTTATACATCCCCCAGGTCCATACATGTACCAGGGTGTCACTCATTTGGGGATGGTATCAAGACAATTTGTCTTTATTTACTTCAACACTATGTTTCCCTGGTCCTACAAACGCCCCTAAAATCATAAGGTATCATTATTAAATTGGCTTGAATTTAAATTAAAGTGTAAATTTGATAGTATGTCTTGTTTTATCTTAATATTATCTTGCTTTATATTAATATATGTTAAGAATATTTAACCGATAATTCGCTGGTTAACTGCTCGATTTTAAAATTTCCTTCAATCAATCAATTTATGTAGTTAATCAATTCAGGTAGTTATTTGGTATTTTATATTATTTTGTCTTGAAGGGAAAATCATCCGATTGGGTAAGTTTTTGGCTTTATCTGTATATTTCGATTTACATACTTAACCATTTTCCAGTTTATGCATTGACAATGCTTTTGGAACTGTATTATCATGCATTTATTTTATGTAAATATTCCAATACAATTTAATGCATTTGAATATTGGAATAAACTCAGTATTGGCGATTTCACAACAGGAAAACAAGGAACAAATAAGTGGAACCCGAATGAAATATCAAAAGACTTTGCAGGTCACCAAGTATACACTACTAATGGTTCTGCTGGTCGGATTAATTACAATTGCTGTATTATTCGGCATTGAGAAAGACTTTGCTAACGGTAATTTCTTTAGTATCAAGCAATGTTATCCTAATTGAAAAAAAATCTAGGAATATGTATGCCTTCTCATTCGTAGATATCTAATTAGCTCTTCAACAATTACATTTTTGTCCTCTATTTAAAAAAAATTCTTCATAATATTTTAGTTCTTACCATGAATTTGGATTCTATAATGCTAAATATACATATATTAAACTATTAAACTATATTCAATGAAGACCCCATGATTAAATCCATACCGAAAACATTTAGTGAGGAACTATATTTTGTGGCGGAAGGATTTTAAGAAGAAAAAGATCATTTTTTCCTCTTTCGAAGTAATCAGTACTTTTAATTTTGGATTCCTAATTTACATGCAGGCTGCACACAGAATAATTTTGTGCAGTGAAATGTTCTCTTCTGGTCCTCATTTATTTAATAAATTAACTGATATGAAATTTATCATCAAATTTAGCAAATATATCATGAAAGTCCTTGAAAAAAAAAAAACTTAATTTAAGCTTAAGGTATGTCACTCGTGAAATTTGTTAAATCAAAGATTTATTGAGAAGTATATTTTGGATAAGTACTCATATAGAGTGACTCAAAATCGCAGAGAAAATAGGTGGTCAGTGTTCATCTTACTGATCTACGGTACAATGAAGTTGACCTTTTTGCACTTAAAATTTAACTCCTTGGTTAATTACTTAAACCTTAATTATATTGTATCAAATGTAACCATGGCAAAAAAATATGATCTTATTTTACGTAAAATATTTTGAAAAATATTTATAATTGAAAAAAAAATCGTGCAAATTAATGCGGGTAAATTATTGTGTGAACTTTTTGCAATAAAAAGTAACATATTTAGGGGTATTAAAAAACTAAATAGGCAATAAAACATTTTATTAAGTCAAGCTTTTTACGACTTAAGTGCTGATCAGTCATTAGTATCGAGTACTTTGAAATAATGAAAAAAAAAAGTTTGGGTCAGTGATGTCATTTTACGTTGCCTCATTTGACATATCTTCATTTTTTGGCAAAGTTTGTTGAAGGAATTTGTTAACCTTGTTCCAAAAATATAGATTAAGACCTATATTTAATATTCCTAGCAATATCATAATGGAAAATATTCTCTGAGTAAAAGTATGTGAGTCTAAAGTTCCTAGTTATTAAGTTTAATAACTGTGCAGATTTGCAGAATTATCTGCTAAATATCCTTCCACCACAAAAAATAGTTCCTCACAAATCTTGCTTCTTTGTAGCTTTTTGAGCTGTTTTTTTCGTTGAATCTTAAACCATTAACATTGTTGAAACTAAATATGTTATAAAAATTGAATTTTGATAAACAGTTTTGAAGTAAGAAGTTCTGCTGACAAGTAACCTACCTTAAAATTTGCAAGTTATTTAGTAATATCTAAAAATTAACTTCACAGACCCCCACTTTTTATTTCATTTTCTGAATATATAAGATAATTTTAACCACTCAGCAAAAATTCAGAAAAATGCCAATACTTTCGAATGATTTTACTGCTTTTAGAATTTTTAATTCCAGCAAAATAACTTTTTTGAGTGCAGAAAGGTCAAATAATTTAATATGCAAAGTAATTATACCCCCGCTTGAAAAGTGAGAGGGTATACTGTAATAGGTATGTCTGTCTGTCTGTCTGTCTGTCCGTCCGTCCGTCCGTCTGTCTGTTACGCTTTGGGGGTACCCATCTCTTAACCGCAACTCCTCTTATACCACTGAGAGAAAGTTAATGAAACTTTCACAGAATCTTTATTACATATTGCTATTGTGCACCTCCTATTTTACTTTTCAATCCGACACATATTTTGAGTTTCCCAGCCAAAGCAAAACATGGACTTTGCCATTATAATTATATTGGAGGCGGGGGGCATCATTTAGTGAACTTATTGCTCACAGTACCTCTAGTTTGAAACTATTTTTGTTGTCACAATTTTCAATGATATAATTCAAGGTAAAAAAAGATTTCTGAGCCAATAATTCATTTGGATAAAAATATTACCCGAAATACTTTGAAAAATTGAATTATATGTGAAAGACGTAAATACAGTGCAAAAAGGTCATATCAATTGATCCGTAGTATTAAAAGAAGCGCACAGACCCCCATTTTTGTTTGATATTTTATTAAGCTATGTATATAGATTCTAAAGATAAACTTTAAAAATATTCTCAATATTTTTGATACAGAAACCAATCTCCTTATAAATACTGTTTGTTTGCCCTCTCCCGACTCAGGATTAAAAAATGGACGGTAGGCAGGTGTGAAATTATTTTCTTAGTATACTCCAACATTTATTTTCCGAAATGAATTAAAAATTGTTTTCTGGAGGTTAAAAAGACTTTTAGTGATGCCATTTTTATCAGTCGGTCGGGAGAAGGCAAACATATTTTTTAAAGATGGCTTTTGCATTTATTATTAAATATTGACATTAAATGCTTTGAAGACAGCAGATTTATTTCTTCCTTCCGTGGCAATCAGGGATTTTTACAAACGGTTATTAACTTTTCCTTGAGATTTATTGAGTTAATCTTTATAGATTTACAAAGGCAAGTGGACAGTATTAAGAAGGACTTGAAATGTTTGAATGGTAAGTCATAAACACACAGAAAAGTAAAAGGATCCGATGGTATCATATTTTTATATTATTTCTAGGGATTTAAAAAAAATCTTCCAAAGTATCCATATTCTACGGAAGCATTTTGCTGCAAGTTCGTTATAACCACATATACTTAGTCATGATAACGTAATATCAAGTCGTACGTACGAAGTACTATGTCGACATTACGACATAAAATGTCATACAAGAAACTAAATACCAAGTCATACTTAGTAATACGTACGGCATAATTGAGAGGTTTAGCAAGCTTGTTCGTGAACATATACGTGTATACTACAAGCTGGAATTTTATGTTTATATTATTTTTCTTGTTTAGAAAAGCATTTCCCGTAAGTGTACTTGCAAGATTTTAAATGTAAAAGTGTTCAGAATTGAAAAATGTTTTTAAAAAATCCTGAATTTTTATTCTTATATCATAGTTTATATAATTATATGCAAATACTAGTATTAATAAGAACAGCTTGAAGAGAGCTCTATGACTAAGTTGAAATTACTGTTATAATTTTAATCCGTCGAGGCAACTTTTGAAATTCTAGATTTTGAAATATATCACTATATTATATAACATTTTTACAATTATAGACATTTTTACGAAAGCCCAGAAGGCTCATTCGAGATTCGAGTTTCGAAATACGAGATTTGAAATTCGAGATTCGAGATTCAATATCCAAACTAACCAATCAAAAGGCGGTTTGAGATTCAATTACTCCCCTTTATTATTTATTACTATCAAGAAATTGTTGAGTATATTTATATCGAAGAGGTCATTTGATTAAATTACAACGCAAGAAAACGTGTTATATATTATCAGAACGAAATTTAAAGAGATATTGGATTTTGTTCTGCAAGATATGCTTAAATTTATGATAGCTTCTTAAATGTTATAATAGATTATTCAAAGAATAAAATTTATATTTATCTACTTTGGTTACAGGGTTGATGTTTCTCAGACACCTCTGCAATGGGCTCACGTCAAGATTTTTGACATAACGTGTAAAACGGGATATTTGCAGATTTTTTTCAAAATAAATTTATAGTTCTGGATGATTTAAAAAATATCTATCTCAAAACTCAGACATAAGCATAGAAATTAAATTATAATGAATTTAAACAAACGCACTATTTCTTGTTTTTATCACTGTGATATACGCGAGTCAACCACAGAGGTGAATGTATGAGCCAATGCTAGAGAGTGTCAATTTGGTTGTCACTTGCAATGTCTTGCAGCAGCAATGTGCATAATACACTTGCAGGACTGAACAGATGCAGGTCTAATAAAACAATAACATGACATTTGTTGTATATGTACAGATTGTTGAACGTCATGGGTTTAACTATTTGTTTTGTTCCTAGCAATTATATGCGTATTTTCTCTATAATTGTATGTTTTTCACCACCTAGGCATGTTCGCCATGCGAAATTGGTGGGATTCCATTCCCATGATTTCGATATTGAAAACTATTGAATATTTCTGTAATCTGTTATCAAGTGTCCCAATCACACAAAGCAATTATAGAGAGATATCTATGTGTTGAAAGTATCGATCGACATATTTAATATGTGTTTTTATAAAAGTTGCATAGATGTTTTCAGCGTATCATAGAATGCTCCTTCGTGGATTTTACAATGGACCTGATAAATTAATACTTGCCCAGTTTTAGCAGTACCGATTGAAGTTAACGCCTGTTATTTCTTTTGCAGGTAAGGCTATAAAATACGTTTTGTTAAATAAGTATATTAATCCTACAGGTGCATTGCGATGTGAAATAATTTTAAACAATTTTGCACGAAATTTTAGAACTATATTTGCTATGCGTAGTGTATTTCTGATGTCTGTCATGCGATATTCGGCTAAAGTGAAAGTAGGAGTTGGTAAGTCGAATTTTTTTGTTTATTATGAATTATGAGCCTTTTCTCAGATATCTTACATAACTCCTATTGTCAGTAATACATATTGAGAATGACATAGCCTGTGATCTGGTGCACATCAATTTTAGATAGGTTAAACATTATACGGAGGATCCGAAAATTTCCATCTTGCAGACCACGATTTCGTAGCAGGGAACTAATAAATGTTACTTTGTTTCAAAATATCAAAAATGTTTGTCATTGTTTCAAAATACTGTAAAGTCAAAAACATGGTTTCAAATATTATGAGTAGAGTAAATTTTGTTTCATTAATGAGCGATTAATAGTGTTGTGTAAGGTCGGATCATTCTTCATTGAGCCTCAGTCACTCAAAGTTAAATGTCGAATGACGGCTACGTGAAACGGCTCTACGTAGCAAACAAATATGGTAAATCAGTTGTATTATTTGCAAATCAAATTTTGATATTCAAATGTTATTTCTTTTGTTTTATTTTTTGTGAAAAGAGATACACATGGTGCAAGTATCATAATTCTTTATAACATGATATTCACACAAGATTGTACTATATGTGGCGGTCAGCCGGAATCGATGGCCAGTGGCCAGATAGCTCAGTTGATAGAACACCTGACCGGAGTTTCAGGGGGCCCGTGTTCGAATCCCGGTCTGGTCCGCTGCATTTTCTCCTCTCCCATTACATTTGAGCCTCGTCGGATAGAAATCGACCTTATCGTATGCAACGTCATAATGAGAAATAAACGAATAAAGTTAAGAAAGATTTCCCGGTATTTTTACTACACATGGTTTTCACGTTAAGGAATGTTTTAGACATCGTCAACTGCAGTTCTCAGATTTGTTCTTTAAAAAATCGGACCATTTTAAATTTGTACTAATAAAATAAGCAAATTTTAAATGTATTTCCCTTCGTAGAGCCTTAACTTTTTTATTGTTACCATGGATCAATGTAAACAAAGGCCAGAGGAATGCCGAGTCCGATCTACATTTATTTTTTTTTCAACCAGCAGAAGACGCGAGGTTTTATCTAACACCAGATTAAGATTAAGTTGGTAGACATATAGCAAAGCAAAATTGGCATGGTGAATTACTTAGGAAGAACAGAATATATCTTTTATTGTAGTTTAGAGTATAAATTTTAGCCAAAGGAGGCGTATCTGGCACAGAAAATCACACATGTATTAATTGATGAAGTACTAGTGTGTGAACTTCATTTACTATCATCGTGTGTATTCATTCATTCAAGATTAATATATTCACAATATTATATTAGATATACTATAATGTTTCATGTCTTCGAATGAAAAACAACATTAGGCCATTCCCAGTACAACATGTACAAAGGCCACGATTCATCAACTTTCAAAACGCATTTTTCTAACATTAATATTCAAAGATATCAGGAAACAAGTAATACTAGTACTGTGTAAGGCAATATTTTCATATATCAGTAAGTCTCAAACGGAAACACGTAGACTGACTTATCTGAGAAGTGTACATTGTCCGAAGCAACTTAATTTGATAAATTGTGCAAGTTGCTTCCCTTTGACGCAAAAAGAGGCTCAACACGGGGGAATCATTTCTTTAAAAAGTTTTTTTTGTTCTCTATCTTTTGTCTTTTTTTTCATTACTTACAGTTTATCTGTTTATTTTCTTAAATACTCCACTCCTTATTTTGTAAGTTTATAAAATATACTGACGATGGATTATCTATGATTTTAAATTTCTTTAACTTGGCTAGCGAAATTGTTCAAAGAGGGGTGTTCATCTTCACCTTGTAGGGAGAGGGCTACAATAGGCTTTGCCTGCTGCCCGATCCTATTCACTTTGTGTGAATAAAATTTTGTATAAATATAAAAAAAGAAAAGAATGTGCCCTGTTTGTGAAACATTTCCTTCTACGCCATTAATATTTAAAAGAATTGTAAATCAAAAAATTAAAGTTGCATGTAAAAAAAAAAAAACAATAGCTTTGTGAAATGTGTTCCTAAATATTCACCATAAAGTTAAGTATTTTGAGCCCCGTTAATACCAAACTTTTCTGCAAAAAACACCTTGACATGAGCAGGATTTCACACGTTCGTGATTCGTGAATAAACGAAGGAATATGGTTTCACTTTGTACAAGAACTTTCAATTATAACATCAAAAAGTTCTCTACATTTTAAAATTCTCCAATTCTCTTCTTTAATAGAGGGGGATACCCAAAACTGATACTGTACCTTCTAAATCTCAAATATTTTTTTTTTTTAATAAAAATCAGAAAACATTTAATTATGAGATGTCTATTTTACGTATATTTTGCGGACTGAGTTAGAGACGGGATAGCAGAATGTTGTCTATGCATATGTCGCGTGCCTTCATAAATATTATTTTTTTCTCCAGAGAGGAGAGTTAATGTTTTTTTTTCTTTTTTTTTGGGTGGGTGAGGGGGGGGGGGGGCTTGTAAAGTCAGCACATATATAAGGCTACCTCGCTGGCTAAATATGATTTAATTTATTTAAAAATCCTACGCACCCCAGCTGAAACCGATTCTCTAATTCATGGCATTAATTATCCTATTTAACTGGTTTAACTGTATTTCCTTATAAAATAATTATTTAGAAATTCTCCATACAGTCTACGTAATCAATTCTTTTTTAAACATTCAGTTCGTTTGCAGTAATTGAATTAAAAAGGAAAGAAAATGTGCCACATGGTTATCGTAATTCATCATAGCCTGTACGTGTTTTTGTTTTTCTTTCCCTCAATATATTTCTAATACTCCATTAACAAAGAAAAAATTTTTGCTTTTCTGAAATTCATGTTAATACCTTCATTTTTTTCTGTTGATCTAAGATATTTTGTAAACTTTATGTAAATTCTCTTTTTCAAATGCATTGGAATGTTGCGTCACAAATAAACTATCATCGTCTAAAACCCACGAGTGATCTCGTGTTTACTTATCACCCGGTGATGAGAAAAGATAAGATCATCCTTGTATCCGATGATGATAAACTATACGCTATAAAAAAAAAATAATAAAGAATCATCTGACTTCCGCCTAAAATGTCAGAATGAAGTGATTATTTAAAGAATACGCACAAATCG